TGCGCAGGCTACACATCCACTGCGCAACCTCTTCGACCACTGCGCATCCTCCCGCGCATAGCGGTAGCAGTCCCGGAGCATTCTGTAAATTTACTCACTTTTATAACGTGATTTTAAAAAAACCTGGGTCCTATTTCCAAAATCTAATTAGAGCGGGCTCATCTAGGGCCAATTACCTGACGATCTACGCAAAAATCATGGAAATCGGCCCGGTAGAACGCTCAAACGAACTATGACAAAAAGTATAAATTTACATTGTTTAAATGAGAGAATTCGCAACTTTACCACGTAATATAAAAAAACCTGGGTCATATTTTGAAAATCTGAAAAGAGTTGGCTAATCTAGAGACAATTGCCCGTGGATTGCCGCAAAAATCATGAAAATCGGCCCGGTAGAAGGCTGGAACTAAGCGTCACCAGTAACGCAAAATTAGGAGGTCTCGGAGCTTATAGTATAGATAGCAGTTTGGCGGAGTGTGAAAATCGTGATTCTATAATTTTGTAAGGGTTTAAATATTTTTTCGTGTTTCCATATTCCGCGATACCTGGTGGAATTCCCAGTTTCTTTGCAATCGCAGGAATGGGAGTTAGCCCAACTACATAGGAACTGTAGATTGGTGGTGACCCACGAAAAAACGTAACACACATGACACGGTCATTCGATAGGCGGGCGGGCAGTGGAACTATCCAGTTACTAATCTCGTCATAACCTCAATAACATGAGATCTCAAAGGAATTTTTACAGAAAATGATATAGCGTTGGAATTTGTATCGTAAATTCCTTAGCATGGCTACGTTTCATACCTGCACACAGCTTTTCAAACAGATAATTCTGAATTTGATAAAAGTCCGTATTCAGCAATAGTCCCATACGAAACCATGGAAACCGACTATGCTCGTTCTAATTTAATGGGACATTTGCGCTGGTCTCAGAATCGTGTTTTTTATGCCTGATTTTCAGGGCCGGATTCGCCTACTTGCCGCCCATGGGCCGCCTATATTTTGCCGCCCCCTTCTCATTCGTTTTGAAACTCGATAAAAACCATCAAATGAACGTGCCAGGGGGGGAGGGGTGCTTAAGACGCATTTACTCGCGTTGAACACATTTTTTGGGAGAGCCCTGTCAACACTACTAGCTAAAGTTCACGAAACTTTGCGCGAAAGTTAAGTTCCGTAAACCTATCTCTGTGTGGACAAGGCCTTCCATTCATAAGAAATGAACGAAAAAATTATGAAAGAACAAACATAAATGTTAGTTCAATGATTTTAACTTCCGCCGCCGCGCCGCGCAGACCGCACCGTGTTGGACGCAATACGTGAAGTATTCACGCAGTCTTGTAGGCGCTAAGCGTTTCACGCTGACCGCACTGTGTTAAGCGCAATGCGTGAAGTATTCATGCATTCTTGTAGACGCTATCCGTTTCACGCTGACCGCAATGACCGCACTGTGTTTGATGCAATGCGTGAAGTATTCGTGCAGTCTTGTAGGCGCTACTATGTGTTACATGCCGATCTCCGCTTCGAGGGCTTCTCCTTTTCATCTCAAGTCCTCGTTATCATTTCTCTCCAAGTCGCGCCGTTCTAGGCCAAATTGCGTGTTTGGTTTCCCTCGTAACTCGACTCGTTGAGGGTCCTGTCTCTTGTATCACTAAGAGACGACAAAATTAGAAATTACTGCACTCTCAGGAAATGAAAGATTTTGTCGCCTTTTCTCGTTTGTAATTTTGTTTTTATAAATCCGATTTTTTTTTTTTATACCTACACTTTAAAAAATTGCAAACTTTTGCCGCCCCTCAGATTTGCCGCCATGGGCCGCGGCCCATGTGGCCACCCCCTTAAACCGGCCCTGTTGATTTTTGTCGATCAGCTAAAAATATTAAGGTCTGTCCAAACAGCAATTTCCTACGCTGAATATTAACCGAGATTTTGCGCTTTGAAAAATTCGGTTTATGACGTCATCCATCGCGGTGGTGACACCCTTGGTTTCTTCTACCTCCCTCTCATCCAAGTTTCACGTTGAGTAACCAATGCAAATGTGTGTCTCCCTGACTGACGAAAGTAAGGTGGAAGAGACCAAGTGTGTCACTAGCGCGATAGATGGCGTCATGAACCGAAATTTTCAAAGTGCCATATCTTGATCAATATTGAATATAAAAAGTTGCCGTTTGGACAGATCTTATTACTTTTAGCCACTCTACAATACTCAGTGACCAGCGCAACTGACCCATTGTTGCTCCTGATGTGACACAAAATTCACCGTTTGCGTAGCTTAGGAGCACCCTATCCATAGTTTCTAGATCGTCGGATTGGCCGTCCAAGTATTTTTAAGGGTTTCCCAAGTATAAAAAAGAACAAGAAGAAAGAATTAATGGCTTTTCTTGCAAGGTGTTGAGCCCCGATCTAGCACTTCTCGGAAAAGCTTTGAAGATCATCGACCCCTGCTCGTAATGTTTGGTGTGAGCTCCCTAAAAATTTACCGTTTGCGTAGCTAAGGAGCACCCTATCCATAGTTTCTAGATCGTCGGATTGGCCATCCAAGTATTTCTAAGGGTTTCCCAAGTATAAAAAAGAACAAGAAGAAAGAATTAATGGCTTTTCTCGCAAGGTGCTGAGCCCCGATCTAGCACTTCTCGGAAAAGCTTTGAAGATCATCGACCCCTGCTCGTAATGTTTGGTGTGAGCTCCCTAAAAATTTACCGTTTGCGTAGCTTAGGAGCACCCTATCCATAGTTTCTAGATCGTCCGATTGGCCATCCAAGTATTTTAAGGGTTTCCCAAGTATAAAAAAGAACAAGAAGAAAGAATTAATGGCTTTTCTCGCAAGGTGCTGAGCCCCGATCTAGCACTTCTCGAAAAAGCTTTGAAGATTATCGACCCCTGCTCGTAATGTTTGGTGTGAGCTCCCTAAAAATTCACCGTTTGCGTAGCTTAGGAGCACCCTATCCATAGTTTCTAGATCGTCGGATTGGCCATCCAAGTATTTTAAGGGTTTCCCAAGTATAAAAAAGAACAAGAAGAAATAATTAATGGCTTTTCTCGCAAGGTGCTGAGCCCCGATCTAGCACTTCTCGAAAAAGCCTTGAAGATTATCGACCCCTGCTCGTAATGTTTGGTATGCTGCCGTGCTAAGGAAGAACGCCGTATGAACATTCGAGAGTTGCCAAATTTCCTTCGATATAATGTTTATTTTTGAGGAGAGTTGTGAATATTTTTCCTTGAAATTTTCAGGGACTCTCGGTGAAATTGCGAACAAAATTATCCGAAAATTGGAAGAAAAATATGTATAATTTTACCATTAAATTCGTATTTTATAAATAGAAATTTGGCAACGCCTGAAGGTTCATAAGGCGTTCTTCCTTAGCATGGCAGTATGAGCTCCCTCCTTTTTTCCGCCATCGTTTAATCGTGGTTTAATCGTTTTCGAATTGGCTTTCTTTCCAGACGCTGAACGAGAAAGCAGGTCAAGGTCGTCACAGCGGCTCGATGATGTGGCCGGGAGGAGAATTCGCCTACCAAGGGGTGACACCCACCCACGCCGTGCGCTACGACCAGTCCTTCGACTGGAACAAACGCGTGGACGTAGCCATCTCGTGGTTCCTCAACGAGACCGCACCGGCCAACCTGGTCATGCTCTACTTCGAGGAGCCGGACTTCATCGGCCACCGGCACGGTGTCGACGACCCCTTGTTCAGGGACGAGATCCGCCACTGCGACCGGACGGCCAAATACCTCCAGGATCAACTCGAGGCCCACAACCTCCACGACAAGGTCAACGTGTTTCTTCTCAGTGACCACGGCATGGTCTCCGTCGCGCAGGACCGGATAATCGATCTCAACAAATTCGCCAATTTCTCGCGCTGCGACGTCGTCGGAACGTCTCCCGTCATGCAGATCAGTGCTCTCGCCTCGTTGGACCCGTTCACCAAAAGATGTAAGTTTTCATGGAATGTCAAAGAAACGGGAAATTCGAAAATAAAAAGTGCCATTGGGGAGAATTCGCACGCGAAAACTGTATCGCTTCATCTGAGAGTGCCTATAATGAGCTGAATTTGCAGTATTTTTCATAGTTTTTTTTCTAAAATGGGAAATTGGAGAAAAATCGATTTAAAAGTTAGAAAATGCCATAGAGTACATAGAGTCGTAATGTAAATGAGAGAGCTGGCGCCATGTTCTGCTCGACGAATTCCGAGCCCGGTGTGCGCCGAGTTCGGGTCGCTTTTTCGATACATTTTCGATCCAAAATGGCGGTGTGGAATACGTGGTAATTCCTATCTCCTTTGTTGTTGTTGTTGTCATCGGATGGCCGGGTACCCGTGTATTGCAAACAATCGATTAAGTATCGAAAAAGTGACCCGGCGTCACACAGGAGTCTCGGAATTCGGGACATGGAAAATGCATAAAAGTGGCGCCAGCTCTCCCACTTACATTACGACTCTGTGTACTCTATGGAAATTGCGCAGCCTCGTGCATGGTTCGTTTTAAAAAAATTACTTTTTCTGAAGACCACACGCGATTTTTTTTTTATGAAAGTGTCTAGGAAGGTCTCTAGATTGTAGAATTGAAAACCGCGAAATCGTTTTTATCCCTCTATCCACGTCCGTATAAAAAACTATCCTCACAAGAGTATACTTGTAAGTTATTTACATAGTTTTTGGTGATAATCACCACTCAAAATCTACATTGCTCCGTCAGCCGCGTCATTATCGGGTACGTAACTTGGCAACTGTAGGAACATGAATATCGGGGTGAGAAAAAACATCCTCAAAATTTGGGCAGGTAATAACGGCATGTATTGAAGTAACAAAGAAAAAGAGGCGTCGCCAATACAATCTTACATCTCGAACTGAGGAGCCACGCTAGGAAGCCTCGCACCAGTCACTCGCCGATTCAAGCAGACTCAGCAAGTTTCAGTAGGAGCAGAAAATGCACTGAAACTTGCCAAGTCGCCCAGAAATCAGCGAGTGCAGAGCCCGAAAGATTCCTATACGGCCCTGCTTTGCACTGTTTTCCCATCACAGTGACCTGCATTTCCGAAAGCAACACCGCATAAGAGGGTGCAATTCCTTTAGGGATGGTTTGAAACTTGTAAGGACACCCATTTACATGTCAAGGACTGACATACATAAAATTTTAACTTAATTTGACCAGAGGGTGGTGTATTCTGGTGGTCACACGTTGGCCTCTGCCGCCATTGTACCCTTAAAAATGGAAAGAGTCAAGAATAAAAAAATGATTCGCATAGGATGATGTTCTCCAAGTAAAGTGGCACAGGCCCATTATCACTCACCTTAGTGAAAATTACAGGACTTACAGGAGTAGAGGTCACTAAGAGTTTTTTTTTTATTTTTTAATACAGTGTCTGTAAGAGGGTGTGTGATACTGATAACTCAGAGCTAATATACAAAGTGGATTTATTAATAAAGAGTTAGGACATTAGGTATAATGAGTAGGGCAAAGACCTGACGTTTAGAGGGCTGGCCCAGGAGGTGTAAAGGCAAAGCTCAGCAGATAGTAGGGCTTGTTAGAATTTAAGCAATGATGCAGTGGATGTAAATGTTGAACATTCTTTTTATTTGATTAAACAAAGTACCGGTGGACCGAGGGGTCACATTCTAGGATACGGAATCGACAGACTGATTGAGACGCGTCAAAGGGGCACGTCTACAGAACTGCAATCTTGCACATTTTCAATCAACTGCGTCGTTGCTCGACGGTTGAAATTAATATTCCAACAGGGCTATGCCTATAATACTAATCTAAGGTCTGAAATACGATCTGAATTTGAAGTTAATCAAACTGAATCAATAGGCGGAGTGAATGCCTACAGGCTCCGCCGCCCTATTATAGCTGATCGGCGATCTTCATCCACGATTAGTCTTCGCGCAGTGGAAGAGGTCCGATCGCAGCGCCAACATCGGCGTTCGCGAACGCACGATGCGCGGCGGCTGTTTGGAGTACGTCGTTATTTCTGGTATTTTGTCACTAGAAATAGCAAAAAAAAAAAAAAAAAAAAAAAAAAACCCACCGTGAGCAGAATTGTCTCTCTGTAAGACCTTCATCTTGCATCAATTCCTTTATTGTCACAATTTAGTGATCCGTTACTTTTCTCATAAGCGCAAGACATATCTTGCCATGATGAGTAAAGGTGAATTCTATATTTTTCAATTCATCTTTTTGCTTCATATCTCGTTATTCAGGGCCAAACATAGCCTCAAAGATTTCGATTTTTTGGCGAATTGACAAAAACGCGAAAACCCTCCGCAAAGCACGTTCATGAGCTTCTTGAAAAAAAAACAAAATAAAAAATTAACTCTAATGAAATAATGCTTAGATTATTTGTCTAAATCACTTTCAAATAATAATACGAGACTTCAGTGCTTGGCGTGAATGACTACAGTTATCACGATTTTTTGAAAACAGACCTATTTTGAACTTTAACAGGGGATAACTCGAGAGCAAAGAGTCGCAGCGACCTTTGCTTCACGCCAAAAAGTTTCATTTTTTATTACCTTTCCAACGATGTATCACAAAAGGGAGGTTATGAGCAACATTAAAAAACTGTGAAAATGAAAAGATAAAACATAAATTCACTGTCAGCCAGCAAGGCGGCATCCCTCGGGACCACTCTTCTTCAAATCTTGTCAGTTCTTCGCGCTTGAAGTGCGGGAATTCTCCGGAATTTAAACCGGATCAACCGGATCCGTCATTTTCCTCAACTACTTTATGCTTGTACACTCAATCTCGTCTCCAAATATCAGAATCCACGTCCATCTTATGAAATGTGTCTCCAGCGTACGTCTATTGATGGGGATTTTCGTAGCGTTCGACACTTATTTCGAGAATCGATGCTCATGATTTAGCATCCCTCGAGACGACTCTTCTTCAAATCTTGTCAGTTCTTCGCGCTTGAAGTGCGGGAATTCTTCGGAATTTAAACCGGATCAACCGGATCCGTCATTTTCCTCAACTACTTTATACTTGTACACTCAATCTCGTCTCCAAATAGAAGAATCCACGTCCATGTTTTGAAATGTGTCTCCAGCGTACGTCTATTGATGGGGATTTTCGTAGTGCTAGACACTTATTATTTCGAGAATCGATGCTCATGATTTAGCATCCCTCGAGACGACTCTTCTTCAAATCTTGTCAGTTCTTTGCGCTTGAAGTGCGGGAATTCTTCGGAATTTAAACCGGATCAACCGGATCCGTCATTTTCCTCAACTACTTTATACTTGTACACTCAATCTCGTCTCCAAATAGAAGAATCCACGTCCATGTTTTGAAATGTGTCTCCAGCGTACGTCTATTGATGGGGATTTTCGTAGTGCTAGACATTTATTATTTCGAGAATCGATGCTCATGATTTAGCATCCCTCGAGACGACTCTTCTTCAAATCTTGTCAGTTCTTCGCGCTTGAAGTGCGGGATTTCTCCGGAATTTAAACCGGATCAACCGGATCCGTCATTTTCCACATACTTTATGCTTGTACACTCAATCTCGTCTCCAAATAGGAGAATCCATGTCCATCTCATGAAATGTGTCTCCAGCGTACGTCTATTGGTGGAATTTTCGTAGCGTTCGACACTTATTTCGAGAATTGATTTCGATATTTCGAAAAATTGATAAACGCCTTTTTCATCCCGCTCCCAATGTCCAGAGTGGTATACATCGTGGACAATTCGATGGCTGTCATCAACGGATAAAAAGAGTCGATTCCAATCATTTTTAACTGTTTGGGTGAAAAATTTTCTTTTATTATCTTCTTCAGTAGGAGCGTAATCACCGTCCACTTGTATTCCATCTGCGAATCTTCTTGTGGATTCGCCTCCAACCAGTCGCTCATGTCCGACATCGTTCGCATTAGAGGGGCCAGGCCGTTGTCCGTCAATTCGCAAGCTTCCTGAATCAACATAGATAGGGGGCAGCCCTGCAGCTCGTATTGGGACACATGGGATACTTTCTTCGGCGGGGGTTCGGTCACGAATTCCTCCTCTAAAAATTGTTGAGTGTTC